AGTAAGGCTACATGGTTTGCTCTTTCATTCATGGATCGAAGGTGCCATCAAGTCCAGGGTCAACAGGCCAAGCTTGGGCTGGTGTTCAACCAGTCATCCTGAGATTGAATTGGATTTGGTTTTGTCAATGAGAAGCTAGCTAGGAGGAAGCAATGATAACATAGTCTAATGTGAAGATTCAATTTTTGTTTAAGGTGAATCAAAATCTCTTTGTGGCTTGATTCAACCAGAGTAGAGAACATTTTGTTGATTTTTCAAGAGTTTGCCATTGTAACTTCGAACAATCACCAAGTGAAGGGTTGTAAGTTGAGGAATACTCGTATTTTTCAAAATATCATTCCAAGCTGGAAATGATATATTTTTTCCCACTCACAGAAGCACTTCCTGAATCATTGGCAGCCATGGCTTTCACCAGATGCTTCTCTGTATATTTTGCTGATCTTGGGGGTGGGTGGGTGTCCATTCTAATCTCATTCAACTTGAAATAATGAAGCAGATTCTTTTATTCTGCCTTTGGAACTGTGCCCAATCATCACCTTCATTTAACGACCCCATAATTCCTTGCGGGGTGGAGTCTAGGCAATTGAATGGAGCTACCAGAGTGTTTTAATGGCCAGATGCCCTTCCTGTCACCAATGTGGAGTTTTGTTCAACAGATATATTCTCAGTGTGTCCAGAGAGAGAAATCTCTGCCTCTACCTAGGATTGAACTGACAACCTCCTGAGTGTGAGGCGAGAGCTTTTGGAACGGTGCACAAGGCACATTAAAAAGCAAAACAGATCTTGACAAAACAGATCCTGCAATCTTGACTTCTGGAGTCATACCCTGAAGACACCCCAACGCTCACAGAAAGAATCTACTCTGCAGAAGTGAGAAACAGCCTGAGCGGAACTTTCAGCCAGCTGTTATTTGAGGTTCCACTTAAAGTTTTAGGAAACAATGCAACTACAAAACTGGAGCATCTTTCAAGCTCAAATAAAGTGTCCTATGAGGAAAATTCTTTGATCTTTTATGTATATTGACCTACCCTTCCAAGGGTAGGTCTTTTTGTGCATAACTGTTTTGTGCTTTTGTTCTCTATTTATTTATTTAGCATATGGCATTTATTTCGCTTTTTGTTCCGCTTGGAAAATAGAGATAGATTAGTTCTGCAAATTGGGAGTGGTAATCCATAGAAAGCCTTTTCAAGATCTAGGACAATGGAACGGCTAGCCATCAAATCTTTAGACCTGTTCTATCCCGATTTTGGCTGCAAGTGATCTAAAAAAGGCAGCAGACCCCCCTCCCCACTTAAATAAAAATATTTATAGGAATCAATTGTGATCAGAAATAACTATGCACCCAGTCAATACGGAGAATCAAAGAAAACCCAAGCAATCGGTTTCCTGGTTTGTCTGGAGCTTAAGTCAGAGAGTGAAGCTGGTTCAAGATTCTGTCTTTGGATAAAACTGCTCCTTGGTTTTTATTTAAATAAAGCTACTTGGAAACCTCTGTCTTTTTCTTCAGTCCAGAAGGAAAAGGGTTTTCCCCTCATCTTTTCCTTTACCCAGCTAAGATGCACTCATCCAAATACAATAATTACAGCATTTTAGGAAACTTCACCACCACAAACTGTCTGAAACGGTTCAGTTGGCAGGATTTGAAATCAAAACTTTCCTGTATTTTGGGTTCTGTGGAATTAGCCTTGAGTTTGGCAATGATAGTAAATTGCCTGACCTGGAGGTTCTATTTTGGATACATATTTTTGAGGGAGCAATGTACAGGCAGTTCTTGACTTAACAATCTCAAGTGGGGGAAGAATTTCTATTGCCAAGCAAGGTGGCTGTTTACTATCTTGCAGCTGACTTTACAAACTTCTATGCCACCATTGCTAAACTAATTAATACGCGTGAAGTGGATCAAGTCAATACTTACCAGTTTCCATGCTCAAGGGGGACTATTTCTCTCTCTGTAAATTTAGCAGAATATTTGAGGAAATCTGCCGTCATGAACTTGGATGCTGCCGCAGAAGACTCTCTTTCTCACTCACGCTCACTTTGAATTGAACAGAAATGGCTTTTTCCGCAATTTTAGAAGACATCTCAGAAATGAGTTCTGTAGGATTTGTATAAATGCAAATCCTTTGATGTCTGTTTAGATGTAATTTGCATAGTCAGCGAGGAAAAGGTGCTTTCGCTGAGCCAAAATGCATAATTTTAGGAGCAAGAGGACAAGAGAGGATGGATGGATGGATGGACAGATAAATGTTCGTTTTTATAAACAGACTTTTGCTACAGGAAAAAGTTAAATGAAGAATGTTTAAGATTGTGAGGAGTCCTACAATTACTTGTTATTTTTAATAATTAGAACTGATATTGAGTATTTGCAATTGTAAAAAAAACCCTGCTTTATAGCTAAATAAATGTTCTAGATCTTGGTCTGGATAGTTTACATTATAATCCAAACTCCTGTGCATATACAACACAAAGAGAGTTTTTCCCATTTCCCATTGTCCTTTAGTTAGAAAGCTGTTCCTTAACTTTATTTCAATCTATGTTATAATAGTAATAACTATAAATAACAAAAGGGAAAAAAATCCTCAACCATATATTGCATTTATTAATGATACTTTTGTGCATTCCATTGCATAAGCTTCTCTGGAAAATTTATAGCAGCCCTAAAAGTTACTTTGATGCAAAGTAATATTTTCAAACAAATACACTTAAACATATTAACATAAGTCACAGACTTTACAAGCCAATTTATTTATTTATTTATTTATTAAAACATGAAATTCCTCCTGGAAGGAATTAAAGATATAGGTAGGTTACAGTAAAGACAAACTTAAGATGAAAATTTATCTGTGCTCAAATCTGATTCTGGATGCACCTTTCTATTTTAGCATTATTTTGGAAATCAAATACATCTTTAAATTTTTGGGAAAACGTTTTATTTTGTTTGGATATTTCATATTGCTATCAATTGTTATGAAAAATGTTGATTGGATCTCACTTTGGTCATCTTTAGATTAGACTAATTGATATCAGTGGGACTTAAAACTATTTCCCATGCTTTATGGGGAGATGCAGTTTGCAGGACTTGGGGTGTTTTATGAGATGATACAAAGGCTAAATTATTCATGCAGATCTGGGCATAATTTATTCATTTTTTTCTGGCAGAACAGTCAAGGATAGCTAGGTACACAACCTACATTGCAAAAGGCTACATATTTATTACATCTTGCTCTATTTTTTAGTGCAACATAATGAGCATTTGATTTCAGTAAGATCCAAAATCCTTGGCATAACCAGTTCCTTACAATATGCAATCTAAGTTTGAGTTTGGTACAAGTGAGGTCAAGCCTCTCTCACCCCCTAGACAAAATGGGCAGCATATAAATCGAATAATAAAAATTATAATTAAAAAAAACTCTTTCTACTCTAGCCAATGCAACTTTCATTGTCTTCTATCCAAGTACTAAAAACTATGCTCCTGATCCAGAGTTTCTTGAACATTCTCCGGGGATGTTTAGAAGGGTGATCTTCTAATATGCCTAATTAAAGTATTGTTTGAGATGCAATTTCTGCATTGGCTTGATTCCAATCCCCACCCACTTTATAGTAACAGTATGGGGCAAGGCAAGAAGTGGGAAGAACCTGGTAACTTGCACCAAAGTCTGCAAAAAATTCTGGACGACAAAACACTTTTCACATTTTTTTAAAATTTTCTCTTAATCTTTGATTTCAGGACTCCCAAATTAAATGGATGCTTTTTTCCACGGGGCAGGTTAGGATGAACGAGGAATCCTATTGAAACCTGGAACCATTACTCGACAACCTTCTGTTCTCTGTCGGACCTAACACCGCGATGCTCTCTCTTTTGACAGACGGCTAGGTCCCGCCCTCCCCTGGCCACACCATTGGCTGCTTCGGACGCCTCCGGCGCCTTTATTGGCTGGCGAAATTAATCCGGACGGCTCGCGGGCGCGCAGGTGGAGGGGCGGGGGGAAGGAGTCGGACGTCGGCCGGCCGGGAAACACTCGGTAACTATGGAAACGCGGCCTAGTGGGTGCCCCCGGGCCTTGGCTCCCCGAACCGGAGGGCGTTTTTGTTCCTCCAGACCCTGTTTTTTCAGCTAGGGAGGTCTCGAGCGGGGACCTTTCTTCGGTCCCGCCTGGTCGGTGTGCGGACGCTGCACGAAAGGGCGAGGCGCCGAGGAAGGAGCGACTCAGATGATGGACGGGGGCCCTCTCTGGCCGGGTGGGCTTTCAGCTACGCGGAGCCCCGGCTTTGGCCGAGCTGGTGGCGATTAGTGGAACCCAAGTTCAGCTAAATTCTGGAGGCCTCCGGGTCGGGCAAAGGTGCTTTGTTTTTCTCAGGAGGGGCAAAAAAAAGGGCAACAGCAATGGATAAAAACGCGAAGGGAGATTATTATTGTATATTGTTTTATATAATATTGACAGCTTTCTGTATGTAGATAGCGTAAAATATAATATGTTATGTTAAATAGCATGTATATTTGTGTATTTATAGTAATATGCACTTTATAATTTAATTCGTATAATTTGGTATGTCTGCCTGCTCCAGAAGACTTTGGACATAAAAACCACAAAAATGGTAAAACTGAATTTACATGTTCTCCCTTTTTTCATCTCCTTCTGTATCTATCTATCCATCTTTATCTATCTATATCTATCTATCTATCTATCTATCTATCTATCTATCTATCTATCTAT